TCAACATAAATTCCTTATCATATAATAATTGAAATCAGATTAATTTCTTGCACTGCTTGAAAAAGAAGATTGACAAGTTTGTTTGACAGGCCTTCAATTTCTTATTTTATTCTTTAGGCTGTAGCCATGGATTTTAGGCCTTCAATTTCTTATTTTATTCTTTAGGCTGTACCTGGTTATAAAGCTATTGTCTATCGGATGTATATTAAACCTTCATCTAGTCGTAATAAATAATTATCATGAATCAAAAAAATAAACAAAACCACCATTTTTAGATGTTTGATTGGAAAATGGAGGATTGATTTTAGATTTCTAATTTTGTTGCACTGTTTCCTTATGGAAAACCATGTGTTAATGATTTTTAATTTGGATACCTTTGTTTGCTAAGAGGGTCTGGGTTTGGTTTGGTTTTTTTTCCATATTTATTGTGGTGGTGATGAAGCCTAGGGTTTCATTTTTCCTAATGCTTAAACTTGTTATCACATTGGTCTTTAATAAGTTAGGGGTTATGGGAGGGTGTAGGATGACAGTTAGAGTTGTGTGGATGGTCATTATACTTTAGCGGAGAGCATGCAGATTGAATCATAAAAATTAGGCTTCCAAATGGATGATTTTCTAGACTCAAAATTACTTGTAAATGCTCTAAGGATGTGCAAATAAGTGGTCAGCAGTTCAGGCTAACTTTCTCAGTGGTTTAGGTTGAATTTGAAGCAAAACTCAGACAGGTCATTCTTGTCCTTTTTTTGGCCAACTGGTCATAGAAGGGGTTTTTTATTGATTTTCGTAGAATTAGACTTGGTTAGGCTATGGGATGGTGAAGGAGAAGTAGAAGAAGTATATGAATGATTTAATTTGAAGCTACAGAAGAATGTTTGCAAAATAAAAATTCCTCACCAAAGGTAATCTCTTGGTCACCAAGCCGTAAGAGGAGGAATAAATTATTGTCAAACACTTTCAAGTTGATTTCAAATGCACTTTAAAAATTTGTTGCAGCAAATCGCTAAATCTTAAACTATTTTTCTTCAAGTTTTTTTCTTTTAGTATTCAAATTTCATCCAATTACGGTAGTTGCATGGTCCTATGAAGTTATTGGAGCCTTGAGTTAGAGTAGTGGCTGGCCCCTTATTTTGTCAAATATGGGGTGAGTTGGCAACATGTGTGGCTGGAGTGAAATGTTGACTCGTCCTTAGCTGCCCCATCACTCATGAATTTTCTTGTTATGTTTCCCCATGGAAGTCAACAATGGTAAGCAATGGCTTACCCCTTCTACTAGGCTTTGTCTTCTTTCGTCTTCTCTCAAAGTGGGTCCTAATTTTATGATTTTTTATTCTAACCTTAGCATGGTTCCTTCGACACCATATCTTCTTACACATCCTAACATATATAATAACATAATCATACAACAATTAAACCAACAACATGCAGGGGCGGAATCAGCTACATTTTTTAGTGTGGGCAAGAGTATGAAACATTTAATTTTGATAAATATTGGGCAAGAAATTTATCGAGAGGGAAAAATTATAAAATTGTTTAAATTATATAGAAAAAGTTACTAATTTTTGTATGCTTAATTGGAAAATCTCAAATTCCAGAGTGCAAAAATGCTCACTGAGGACAATCTGGTTCCGCCATTGACAACACATTTGTCTAGTAATCACATAGCACGCCTTGTTACAACTCATATCATACAACCCTTTAAAAGAAATGCCCATTATAATTATTTGTTTGTCTTAGTGATAGGCTTATCATGCATTTGCTCTGATAGACCACCTTTTACTTAGCAGAGACAGGAAAAAGAGCTCTGTAGCTAAACATATTTTGACAGCAGATAGCTAAGGAATCTAAATCTCTGAACAAACAATCATAGTTCAATTGGCATAAGAACTAGCGACTTATTGTGGATATGATGCTAGAGAATTTACAATGCTCTTTTGTTTTGTAGCCATGGATTTCATTGGTAGGCTGAGAATGAACAAAGGATTAGGTAGTTTTTACAGTTACCTTAATGCAAGAAAAATTATATTGCGATCTATATTGCCATTATTAGGTTTATATTTAATGTATTTTTTTATATTAGTGATTTCTGTTTGATTGGACTTTATAATAAGCCATGAACCTCAATTTAAGGAGCTTATGGGGTATTGCTTGATGGTTGTTATTGATTGATTTCATGAGTTCTCCTAACTGTTTACACCAATTGACTCTTCACTTTTTTCATTTTTTCTCTCCCTACGATATTCTCATCTCTTTTCTAGTGGATATTGTTTCTTCTTTTTACCTCAATATTGGCACCATTGGCTCATTATCCTATTGCATTCTTCTATTCGTTTACCCGCAAGCCTCTAATCTCATTAACCACTCTTTCTTTTTCCAATTGTGCTTGTCAAAAGCACTTGCACCATTTTGATTCATCTTGTATTCAATCCTATCACAGTGCTTGCATACTTCATGTGTTCTTATGTGATTGTCTCCTTTAACTCCATGCATCCTTATTTTCACAAGGGTCTTACTTTACCTTTTTGAGTTTTGCTACTTGCAGCATCCTGCTTCAATAATCAACCAAATCATTATTGTAACATTCTCTCTTTGAATGCCTGAAATTAATGGTTATCATTTTTGAAGGTTCAATGTCAAGGAAATCATCAATAAAAAGTTGTTGCTCGGCATTTGAGGGCATTATGTTTTGAGAATATAGAAGCAAGAATGTATCATTTTCAATGTGATTGTAGATTGATTAATATCTCGAAATGATGCAAAAGCCTGTTGCTTGGTTTATATAAAAAGATTGATTGTAGAGGAAGTATTTTATTATAATGAAGATCATCAAAATACTAATGTTGGTCAATCTTTCACAATCATCAAAGTATTATTAAGAATGATATATGTGTTCACTTTCATTCAATCGTATATCATTTCCTGACCACAAATTTAACAATATATATTACAGATAACAAAATTCATCAAGAAGCCAAATACTTAAAAGAAAAATCAGAGTTCAATGGATGAATTTTCCTCCAAAATCATAATTCAATACTAAAGGTCCATGGCCTTGAAATCCCTTAGAAATTTTGAAGAGCCGATTGAAGATGACGAAGATTCTGAAGATAAGTATCTTTGATAATAATAATAATGATCAAACGATTGGGTCAACAACGCTCGCACAAATTGTCTATACTTATGAGATAGTTTAAATGATAGTTTTTGTATCCCAAAAGGTTCTTTGGCTCACGTCCAAAGGATAAAACATTGGACGGATGAGAGGAAGAAAGAAAATAGAGTACACAGTAATACAAGTTCTCTTGGAACCGATTTAGTAGTCTTTTTTGAAGTAATGACCCCTCTATTTATAAGTGCTAGGAGAGGCCTAGTAAATTATATATTTAACCCTGATTAAATAGGAATGTTACACATGATTAATAAGTCATTACATCTTTATATATTTGTAACTGACTTTGAGATCTTTTGACCCTAATAACAGCGAGTAACACCGCTTTGTGTTCATAACCGTTGTTTGCACCGCTTCGTATTTGCAACCGTTCAACTTGATTCGATCGATTCAGATTCACTCATTCGCTCGATCGGTTGATAGGTCTTCAACCGACTTTTTTGAGGGAACCCTTGTAACTGACTTTGAGATCTTTTGACCCTAATAACAGCGGGTGGCACCGCTTTGTGTTCATAACTACTGTTTGCACCGCTTCGTATTTGCAACCATTCAACTTGATTCGATTGATTCAGATTCGCTCATTCGCTCAATCAGTTGATAGCTCTTCAACCGACTTTTCTGAGGGAACCCTTGGTGAAGACCTCCTTATCCTTAGTAAAGGTTTATTTCATCAGGCAAATAGTGCATTACCGTAATTTGACAGGCAACCTTCCATCATGCAAGTGGTCTTAACAGTGTGTTAAAGAGTTTTACGGAGCGACCGTTGATCTTCTTGGAGTGACACAAAATCGGTTGAGTTGATTTCGTAAGGTTTTTGTTGGTTCAGGTGTATAGCATTCATGAGCCCGGATGTACTATCTTTCGGTCGGCCCATGATCCGACCGAATGAGCTGATGCTCGATGGTTCGATCTTTCGACTGTGATAATGTAGTCCTTTGGTATCCTTATGTGATTTGTTGAATTTCTTCGAGATCCGTGTAGCTTGATTTTTAATGTACATTAGTATAGGATGATTCATGATTAGCAGTACAACTTTCTTACGTACAAATTCCAACTGCATCGCCACAAATATGCTGCCAATAGATCATATCATACATCCTAGATCAAAGACAATTTTAACTGTTTGCACTAGTAAAATGTTTTTTTTCTGCAGTAATTTTATGCATTTATCAACATTGTCCCAGACCGTGGTGCCCAGGAGGATGGACATGACACAGTTTCAACCCCTCCATCCATCATAGTCTGCAACTAGTACTCTTTAGGGGAAGTGAATCAGAGGGAATTGATGCAAGCCAAATTATGCAGTAATTTTATGCATTTATCAACATTGTCCCAGACAGTGGTGCCCAGGAGGATGGACATGACACAGTTTCACCCCCTCCATCCATCATAGTCTGCAACTAGTACTCTTTAGGGGAAGTGTTTTCTCAAATCAGAGGGAATTGATGCAAGTCAAATTACATTAGATTTTATTTTCAACCTTATTAGATTTAGATTTCATGGCAATTTCTGGCTGTATTTACAATTTCCAATTTAGGTGGAATCTTTCGTAATAGTTCTCGACTCCCTCTATTTAAGGAGTTGGTTCATGAGTCTACTGCTTGATGGTTGTTTAATAATTGCTAATTTGATTTCTCTTAACCCTAGCTGTCATTCCTCCTCTCTTCTTCTTGTTCATTTTCTCTCTGTCTTCTCTCCTTTTTCTCCTTTCAGATTCTCGTTCCTCTCCTTACTCTTAATCATACATTTTCTCTGAAAATTTCAAAACCAAATATTATTATTTTGAGATAAGCCAAAACTTCTTTGGGGAAAATAATTGCTCGATTTTCTTGCTGATGGAGAGTGCGGTGTGGAAATCTGGTTTATAGTTATTTACAATGTAATAATACGGTTAATGTTACACTTGAAAGTTTTAAAGCATGCCCCTTTTTCTTCTCAGAACTCAATTCCCACATGCACAACGATTCCAACATATACTTGAGGTTTGTTCACCTATTTTATTTGGTAAGATGAATTCAACCTTTTATCAACTTAACTGACCTGCTCGCTTTCTAATTGCTTTATCTCTATCCCTAGGTTTTAGTTTAGGGGAATTACATACGTACCACCCATTTCCTATGTATTTACATATCGAATGTCTATACTTTACTTTTATTCAACCTTTTATCAACTTAACTGACCTGCTCGCTTTCTAATTGCTTTATCTCTATCCCCAGGTTTTAGTTTAGGGGAATTACATACGTACTACCCATTTCCTATGTATTTACATATCTAATGTCTATACTTTACTTTCGTCTATACTTTACTTTTTTCATTTTTACCACCCAAACCATTCATATCACATAGAAAAATACCTTTTTTTAACTTTTAAAAAGCAAAATGCACCTTTCCATACATGAATAAGGTGGCATACGTATAAAAATTGAAATTTAAGCATTAGATATGTAAATACATAGGAATTATGTGGCATGCATGTATATCTTCCTTAAGTTTATAGATATTGTGATGGCAAAACCATAGATAGTCGAAAGGAAGATTTACATACATACCACTTAATTTTCATGTATTTACATATCTAACACAAACCCCAATTTTTACATGCATACCACATTATCTATATGAAAAGGTGTATTTCACTTTTTAAAAGTTAAAATGATGGTATTTTTTATGTAATATGAAAGATTTAGGTGATGTAAATATATATATATATATATATATATATAGGTGTTAGTTATGTAAATCTATAGGAATTGGGTGGTATGTATGTAAATGCCCCATTCTAAAATTTCATGAAGCTTGCCCTACTTGATTCCTAGTTCATTGGAAGAAATACAATATTATAGACTCTAGAAATTGAACACGCTGGAATGTATAACAAGCATTTGAAAATCTGCAGTGCCACAATGGCCACACCTTGTGTTCATCCTGCAAAACAAAGGTGCAGAACCGCTGCCCAACTTGTCGACAGGAACTCGGAGACATCAGGTGTCTAGCGCTCGAAAAGGTGGCTGAATCTCTAGAACTTCCATGCAAACATTCCTCTCTCGGCTGCACGGGAATTTTTCCATACTTCACTAAGCACTTGCACGAGAGCCAGTGCAACTTCAGACCTTATAATTGTCCATATGCTGGCTCGGAGTGCTCTGTGACCGGAGACGTACCATTTTTGGTTGCCCATCTAAGGGATGACCACAAAGTAGACATGCATACGGGCTGCACTTTCAACCACAGATATGTTAAGTCGAATCCACGGGAAGTCGAGAATGCCACTTGGATGTTGACGGTAAGTAAGCTTAATTTTTTTCGCATTCAATACTATGGGTTTGTTTGGAATCATTTTTATTATTTTATTTTATTTTATTTTATTTTATGTTTGTTTAATGTTTTCTTTGCATATTTTTATTCTTTTGTTTTCAAATACAAATTAGTTGTTTTTAAAAACACTTGAAACATCTGAAAAATATTTTTTTTTATTTTAAAAATAACTAAATATGTTTTAACTTACCAAACATATTTTATTTCAAGTAAAAATACTTTAAATGGAGACTGAATAATTCCTCCTTGGGACATTTTGATTCTTTTTGGAATAACTTGGAGGCTAAATTGATCTTTACATTTGGGACCATTTTGATATCCTGCCAATAGTTGGGGGATGGTTTTAAACTTTTTCTCATTTATGACTTGTTATTCTTTGATTCATTATTTTCTGACTACTATTTATCAGGAGTATTGATCGACTCATGAAGGGAGGTAAGTTTACAAGTTAAAATGAGTTGGTAGAGAGTACCGAACAGAGATATGATGATGGAGAATCTATAATAAGTTATTTTCATTCTAATACTTTTTAACTTAACACAAATCTTTCGGAATGTTTTTCGTCGTCTGATACTATGTTGATCGACGCAATTCCTTTAAATCAACATCAATCTTTCGTCAATGCAAAATTTCTTTTCTTTTTATTTATTTTAGGAAGATTAACATATATAGCACTTAATTCCTATGTATATACATATCTAACACCTAATTCCAATCTTTACATTTATGTCACTTTGCCTATTCATAAAAATGGAGCATTTCATTTTTTGAAAGTCAAAATAGTGGCATTTGTGATGTGATATGAAAGATTTGTGTGGTACAAATATAAAAAGTAAAATTTAGGTATTAGATATGTAAATACATAGGAATTGGGTAGTATGTATGTACATGCCCCTTTTTTTCTTGTCCCTGAAGATGCTTCAGACTTGATCATTTGGCCAGTAAGTTTTAATTTGTATAATGTCTCCAGTATTTATCAGGTCTGCTAAGATTAGTATGACCCCTTTCTCCTTTTCCATGACCACCTTCAAAATCTCTGTAAATTGAGGATTGAAATTCTGAACATGCTTCAACTAGTAATCAAATTTTGATAAACCCAATTATATTTACTTCTCTAGCTGAGTACTGATTAATCGCCTCCTGCTTCACTGCAGTAAATTTTGATATATTGATAAAAATTTGTTTAGAATGGATCTCAAAATCATAGAATTTAGAGAAATTTGCATACGTAGCACACAGTTCTTTTGTATTTACATATCCCTCACCCAAACTTTCATTTTTGCATACATATCACTTGGGTGTATTTCGCTTTTAAATAGTATTAATAGTGCAATCTTTGATGTGATATTAAAGATTTGAGTGTGGTGTGTGTAAATATGAATGTTTAGTTGCGAGAAATGTAAAAAGTTATAAGAATTGTGTGCTATGTGTGTAAATGCCCCTTGAATTTATTTTGAGATGCATAATATATGGAATTCAATCAAAATTTATATCACACTAATCTTGAAAACAAATTGAATGAATCAGGTGTTCCATTGTTTTGGGCAATACTTCTGCTTGCACTTTGAGGCATTCCAGCTGGGGATGGCTCCTGTGTACATGGCTTTCCTAAGGTTCATGGGGGATGAGACAGAAGCTAGGAATTACAGCTACAGCCTTGAGGTTGGGGCCAATGGGAGGAAGCTCATATGGGAGGGCACGCCCAGAAGCATCCGCGACAGCCATCGCAAGGTGCGGGAGAGTCACGACGGCCTTATAATACAGAGGAATATGGCTCTCTTTTTCTCCGGAAATGACAGGAAAGAGCTGAAGCTCAGAGTCACAGGTAGGATATGGAAGGAGCAGCAGAGCTCAGAAGCTGGGGTTTGTATGCCTAACCTCTGCAGCTGAAGCAAGTCTTGTGCTGCAAATCCTATTGTGTGTATTATGTGTGTGTGTGTGTGTGTGTGTGTGTGTGTGTGTGGGATAACCTATTTTTTTTTTAATTATTATTTTTTTTTCTATTTTTTAAATATTATGCTGCCTTTAGAATGGAACTCACTACAAATGTATCTTTTATGGATGGAAAGTTTGGTGATGAAGGCTGTGGCTATGAGGATTGTTTTGGAAAGTGGAATGGTAAAAAAGAGTTTTTAATGTTGGTCCATCTTTTATGTATCAATTTGTTTAAAAAATAGGATAATTACGTACAGGGCACTCGAAATCGAGTTATTGAGTTATTTACAAAACTAGCGCCTAAGTGATTCTTTTGAACTACTGAACTTACGTGTTTATGTTTGTCATGATCAAATCATTGAGAGATTGATATAAATGAAAAATATGGGTTGGGTTTTATTGCGTATTTTGATATTTGAGTGAATTTGAAAAATAAAGGCAAGGGGTTATTAGATTCATAAATAGCGAAGTTTTGAGTGCATTATGGTCCCTTCAAAAAGTATGGATTTCTGATGTCAGTTCACTCAACCAAAAAAATATTAAAAAGTATCTTTAAAGAAAAGAATGAATTCATTCTTTCCATTCTCGTGAGATGGAGTCACCTCACAATATTCGAGTGTATCAACTATATGGAATGAGATTGATTAGGGTTGATGCACTCGAATATTGTGAGGTGACTCCATCTCACTGGAAAGAATGAATTCATTCTTTTTTCCATCTCACCAGAATGGAAAGAATGAATTCATTCTTATATATATATATTTAAAATTACCAAAATTAGGTTAACTAAGATAATTGAGTTCTGATTTCCATTTCATATCCATAACAAATAGCAATCAGATGCAAAAGCATTACAATAGAGCAAATGGAAGGAAAATAATTACACTTATAGGGTTTTAAAAGTAATAATGATGGCACTGACCAAAAAATTACCTGAAAAGCAGTTTTAAAAAAAAAAAAGTCCCATGACCATACATCTTTTCTAATTTAGTCCTATAACTATACAAAATTATCCAGCAAAAGTCATCTCTTAGTTTTGAAAACCATCCAGCCATTAACACCTGCAACTTAGTTGACATGTATGTGAGATGGTTTCTGTACATCATGGCACCTAAAGACTCAACTCAGATTGCACTTGGGAGCTGCTTTCACGAAAAATGTATTTTGACTCATCGAATCTCTCTCAGCATTATATACAGTGCCGCGAAGAATAGCTTATGTCAAAATTCACCATCTCTGTTTTCCCAAATAGCACGAGCAAGCACCCCGCTACACCACCCCTTCGCGAGACCCGGTAGAAGCAGATTTCAACCAGCCTATAGGACGAGCTCCCATTATAAGCGAAGCGATCGAATTTGAATAGGTAGATGGAGATTGGCACGATTTAGCAATAAGTGGAGCGCCAAAAGGCAAATATGGATGGTGCGAAGAGGATGTTCGATAAACTTTAATATATGAATTGAATCCAAGAATAATCTAAGTTTCCTAGAAAGTAAACTTTAAAATATGATTTGAAACGGAAAAATGCTTCAGAGCTGTTTATATCTAGCTAAACAGATATAGAGAGGTTTCTTGTGTATTTACATATCTAACACCTCAACATTCATGTTCACATGCAAAATTTTTAACATCACATTCAAAATACCATCATCACTATCTTTATAGAAGTGAAATATTTCTTTTCATGCATAAGTTTATGACACCAAGGTACGATAAATGTAAATATCAAACTTTGGGTGTTAGATATGCAAATACATAAGAATTGTGTGATATGTAGAATTTCCTATGGAGAATTTGCAGAAAGCTAGACATCGAATTTCCAATATAGGCGCAGTTGTTATTACCAGTGTGGAGATGCAGGATAACCGCAATTCTAAGCCCACAAGGTGAAAGTGCGAGTCAAGAAGATATTTAACTATCTCAAATCTTTCTGCTGCGCAGCCTCGGCATATTGTTCCGCAAGTTTCTTCACCTTCCCGCCTTCTCGAATAAGGAAGTTTGCGTTCTTAGCCTTGTGATGAAATTTCATCACCTTATCTAAAGTTTTCCTGACTGCCCATTGGTACTGCTCGACCGTGATTACACCGCTCTTGCATAGTGGCCTGATGTGTTCTTTAATATAGGCCTCCACCTAAACATAAAACGAACCAGTTCATGCTTAATAAGCTTTCAAGGATGTCAAATAAGAAATAGAAAGATTTACATGCAGGCTACTCAACTCCTATGCACTTACATATCTGACACCTAAGCTTTTATTTTTACATATAGGCCAACTTACCTATGCATGAAAAGGTGTATTTCACTTTTTAAAAGTTAAAATAGTGATATATTTGGTTTGATATGAAAGATTTGGGTGTACAAATGTAAAAATTAAAGTTTAAGTGTTAGATATGCAAATACATAAGAATTGGTGCATATGTATGTAAATGCCCCTAAGAAATAATCTCTCTTGTTTTTCTCAATTTGAAGGTGTGAGGTATTTTAAACTAATGTTTAGCTATACCAAAGCTGAACTTCATCAGACTAAAATCAAACAGCTTCTCAATTTGGTAACAACAAAGCAGAGCTCTCAAGATTCAAAGTTGAATACAGAAAAGCTTAAGATGGATGGTAAATATTTTCATTCTGTTAATGTTCCCAAAAAGTGAACGGACATCCCCTTTGTGAACATGAAAATAGAGCTTAGGATTGAAAAAATTTTGAGCATCATTAAGAACACATCTAATAAAATGCTCCCCATAAAAAAGGCAAAGCAATTTATCATACATTATCAGAACATATATCATTAAAAAGACAAAAAAAACAAAAGCTTTACTACATGGCATAGATTACCCAGGTTGATGGCAAACAAAATGTATAGATTAAATATATAATATATCAGTTCATTTGTGTTGCAAAATATCATCATCACTGCAACGAATCCAAATATTTAGAAAAAGGATTACGTCCCATGGAAAGATGATTGAGCTAAAAGAATAAGAACTTCAGATTAGTTTGATAAGCTACAAGAAATAAATTAATGAACAAAAGATGGCAAACAATGGTCAAATATACAGTTAAGAAGCTATATAAATCCAACCTGCTTGAGATGCTTTGGGTTTAATTTGCAAATATGAGAAAAAGAAAAATGTTATCCGTGGGAACTATATTTTAGGGAAGTGTGGGCACATTTAGATTTGGTTCCAGAATGACTTGTATTTAAAATCAAACTAAACTAAATCAATTAATCAAACCTGAAACATAAATCAACCTGTCATTCTGGTAAGTCAAATCACCAAACCAAAATAGGTTCAGTTCAATTTTAGTTTGGACTTCAATTTATTTAAAGATTGAATTTCCAATTCTTGTTCACCATTGCTTTGGTTCGCTTTGGCTTTAAAGGGGAACTTTTATGGGGTTGGTATGAAGCAGTTTGTTCTGAATTGATGGATCATTAAAGCATCTATAATATTTCATAAAAGAAAATCAAAGTTGCGATTCAATCTGAATTAATTGGATGGCAAGTAGCTAATAGAAATTAGAAATAAAGTTTACAATTACATATAACAAATGCTTAATCAGTTTGCTATTACTTATTTTAGTTCTATAAAACTTCAAACATAAAGAAACAAAATAAGTCAGTTTAGAAAAAAAAAATCAGAAACCTAATCAAATCATGAGAAAACCCTTTACTTTTAGCTGAAAATCTGATATATATTCCTACGTGATTAAAGTTAGCAGTTACTTGGAAAGGTGGGATACGTACCGGTACAACCATAAATCCATAGTAATAGTGGCCAGATAATTGAATTAAACGATCAAAATTATCATAATCTTATCCCAACCATTTGAGGTTGGCTGCAGGGAAGTTAAGAATAATAAGGCTAAAAGAATGACATGCCCAAATCCCGGAGAAAAATTTATGTACGTAAGACGTACGCAGCGCTGCGTACGTCAGAGACGTTATTCAGAGGGTATTGAGGGTTAGATCCGCATTATACCTCCTGTAACCTTCCTATAACCTACCTGTAACCTACAAATATATGAAAACAGAAGCGCGAAACTTACTAGAAGGCTAGAAGGTACAAGTAGGTTACAGAGGTACAAGTAGGTTACAGGGAGGTTACAGAGGATATAACGCGGATATAACCCCCCAATACCCTCTGAATAACCTCCCTGACGTACGCAGCGCTGCGTACATCTTACATATGCAAATTTTTCTCTAAATCCAGGGAGGGCAAGGATGATGTATGCGACTTTAGGATTAGCGTTGTAAGAAAGTTGTTTATGTGGGGTAAACGGTGAAACCTATCCTGCCCTCATTGAAAATTATTATGATTACTATTATGTGATAATCATGCCAATCTTTTAGCGAATAACAAAAAGGACTTACCTTTTTAGAAATGGATATTGAGAAATCAGACTCGTCATTGATCAATTTGGCCATTTCCTCATTAGGAATATTATCACAAATTACGGGACTAATTTGCACATTTTCTTTTGTATGAGCATCCAAGTCCTCTATCCCTGCTGATGTTCTATCAAGATGGGTTGAGCCAGCAACCACATCACTAATGCAGCTCTCAGCATCTGTCTGGGAAACTCTAACTGGATCGCTCAATATACAGTTCTCCTTTAAACCAGAAATTGGGTTTTTGTCCTCGTTTGTTACCAGGGGTCTATTCAGCACTTCTACAGCCTTGGCATTTATCTGGCTCGTAGAACTTTCCTTTTTGTTCTCCTCACAGTCTTCTAAAGTAGGCTCATTAAATATTCCCCTCTCAGGTATACTGGGTGGTGGAAGGACATTTTCCATGCTGAGCTCTGCTTGTGAGTTTTCTGGCCCGTTTCCTTTCTCGTGTTCCAATGACTTTGAAGAATCTAATGGTGGCTTGTCTGCCGCTACGGCTTTTCCAGGATTTTGAGTCACGGAAGCATCTTGCTCTGTTTCCATGGAATGTAGAACAATATCCCGAGCATCATAATTAAGCCCTTCATTGAGATTTTCCTGAGTAGAGTCATTTCCATTGAAATCTTTTGCAGCAGAGTAGGGACTGCTGGGAGGAGAATCGGAAAACAGGCCAGCCAATTTCAATGCTTCTTCCACACTGCTCCATCCACCAGCTTCAGGGTCAAAATTTGGCTCCCCAAAACCCCCAATAGAAACCTCTGAAGCAGACAATGCTGAACTGGAGATATTCATCTCAACAAATTCTGTCTCATTATCAGTTTCAGGGTCGAACTCTGTGCCTTCGGTGACCTCATTAGCAAACTTTATAACGGTCTTTGGGGAACTGGAGAAGTTTCTATCGTCTAATTCTGGCTTCTTAGCAAGTTGAGATACAGCCTGTGAACAAAGGTTTACATAAACTAACTTGCTGTTTGACCTTTCACAGATTTCCTTCTCAACATTAACTGCATCAGCAACAGCCAACTCTGTCTCAGCAGTTCTTCGAATGATGGATAGATTTGTTCTCCTCAAGTAGTGCTCAGCGATGCGGTAGAGTTGTGCCTGCAGAATTAAAGGGGAAAAAAATCAATATAAATGAAAAAAAAAGGGTAGAGATGTAAAAAGACCTAGCAGTAAAAGAAACTGCAACTTATCCTGCATGCACTAGTTCTTCTCAACCAAAATCACAGATAAATAAACCAGAGAATATATTTTTAATCGCTGCATTACTCCAAGACAGAATAAACAGGAAAGGTAATTATGTGAAAGTTACAGTGTTGTTTCTGCACGATTACGATAATATAATAAACAATCAATCACTATCAAGATCGAGTAAGTAATAAAATAGCATAACTTGAATCCAAACCAAGGTCATTGTAGTCGCCAGAAAATTATTTTAGTGGGGACACATTAAATATTTAATGTATAACAAGTTTTTTAATTTTTTGAGAAATGGAAAAATACTCTAAATTTTTTTATAAAATATCGGTGTGTTATATGAAAAATTACTAAACTTTTATGTTATACACATTTTAAAATAAATTCATGATAATTTGTATCCTCGTTTTCATCAAAATGAAGAATTTTTGTTTAAATATCTCAACTAAAATTTAGCCAAAATAAATTTCAAAACTATTGGATTATTTTTAACATAGATTCATACAAAAATTCTAATTAAAATTTATATTACAATAATCTTAAAGTAAATCTAAAAATTAAATATTCATTTTGAATTAAGAAACAAATGTTAAAAAAAAAAGTTACATAACATTACCAAAAAAACATTTTATATGTTAAAAGCAAGTTTTATGTTTGCTGTTTAAATCCATAAGCATTGCACAGTAAATTTGATGGCTTGGATAGTACATAGATAGCTTGGTTTAAATGTGCCGAGTTTTAAAATTCATGTGAAAATAATTTAGAAGTATAGTAAAACTTTAGTGTTCTAGATCATTAGGCCTTCGAAATATAGAATTTTGGGCCTTGAGCCAGTGGGGGGATGGGTCCTAGTGCGCCCATACCGGCACCGCCCATGATTGGAACCTACGCTCAAACATTAAATAATAAAATAAAATCCAGTAAACCAATTGATGCATAAGGCCAAAATCAATACAACAGCAACAACAAGCCTTTATCCCACTAAGTTGTGTCGGCTACATGAATCATCTTCTCCATTGTGTCCTATTGTCATATTTTCATTTAATTCTAATAAATTAAGATCATTTTTTATACAATATACCCAAGTTTTTTTAGATCTGCCTCTGCCTTTCTTAACATAAATCAAATCTAAACATCTACCCTCCTAACCGGATCATCAGATAGTCGACGTTTAATCTAACCAAACCATCTAAGACGACTCTAATCTTGTCTGCCACTAGAGTTACACCAACCCTTTCACGAATCACAGATATATTAATTTTGCATTTTGTCTCTAAGCGTCAAGCCACTCATCCACCTAAGCATTCTCATCTCAGCAGCACTTAAGTTTGTTTTCTACTTCTCTTCTAAAGGCCAACATTTTGCACCATAAAGCATTGCAGGTCTCACCTCCATCTTAAAAAAATTTATATTTAGTCTAAGTGGAGCTTTTTTCTATCACACAGTAGGCCTGATGCATCCCTCCACTTTCAACCAACCAACTTAGATTTCAACCAACCAACTTACAACCAACCAACTTAGATTCTACTAATAACATCCCCATCTATATCACCATCACTTTAAACAACAGACCATAGATATCTAAAATATTCACACCTTTTAATGGTTTGAACACCCATAGTTACAACTCAGCCTCTAGAGCTACTACTAATATTATATTCCATGTATTCAGTTTTAGACCGACTCAAACGAAGGCCTTTAGACTCCAATGTAGACCTCCATAATTCAAGTTTTTTCTCGAATTCTTTCTCTAGTCTTATCCACAAGAAGGATATCATCAACCAAAACATACACCAAGGTACATCCTCCTAGAAATGTCCAGTAAGAGCATCCATAAACAAAGCAAAAAAGCAGGTACATCCTCCTAGAAATGTCCAGTAAGAGCATCTATAAACAAAGCAAAAAAGCTATGGGCTTAAAGCCCATTCATGATATAAACCAATTGAAATAAAAAAATGCTTGGTCAATCTTCCTATTCAAACACGAGTAAAAGCTCGAGTGTATAATCTTTAATAACTTGAACATAAGTCATATCAACACCTTTCTTCTCTAGAACTCTCAAAAGAACTTTTCTCAGAACATTATTGTAAGATTTTTCTTAATCAATAAAAATCATCTGTGGATACTCCTTATTCTTTGTACTTCTTCATCAAACCTCTCATTAAATGTATAACTTCTATAGTAGACTTGCCCGGCATAAAACCAAATTGATTATGAGAAATATTTGTATTATGATTTAACCTATATTCAATTACCCTCCCCCATAATTTTAAAGTATGACACCAACTTAATTCCTCTATAATTTGCACACTCTTGTGCATCCCCTTTATTCTAAAAAATGGGGACCAAAATAATGTTCCTCCATTCCTAAGGCATCTTTTAGTTTTAAAAATAATATTAAAGAGTTTCGTAAGCCAAGAAACTCACAAATCTCATAAATATTTCCACATATCAATGGGGATATCATTAGGCCCTACAGATTTTTCACCATTGATTTTACTAATGTGGCAATAAAAATAAAACATTTTATTATTATTAACAATATTAAGATCACTAAAGTCGATCACATTTTCAGTTATTATTAATAATATTAAGATCACTAAAGTCGATCACATTTTCAAAAACTTCACTAAAAAGTATCAAAATAACTCACCCACATATATTGAATTTTTTCATCTAAGAAAAGTACTTTTTGATTTTTATCTTTAATACAATTTATTTGAATTAAATCTTTACTTTTATTTTCTCTTCATTTGGTCAGTTTATACATATATTTTTCACCATCTTTAGTATCTAATCTCTTTAGTATCTAATCTATTATGCTTTAGTATCTAATCTATTATGAAGATCACTAAAAACAAAATTCTTAGCGTCACAAATTGTTCTATTAGACATCACATGGGTCACTTTATATTTTTCCGAATTCTCTAAACTTTTATATTTAAACTAATTTTTATAGCACAACTTAATTTATTTTATCTTTTCTTGCACATTATTATTCCACCACCTATTTTTATTTATAAAAACTTTTCTTTTTGATCATCCAAGTACATCTTTTATTATTTGTTTAACAGTGTTTGTTACTTTATCTCGCAAATAATTAACTTCTTCATAAATATCCCAAATCTTGAAATTATGAAGTTTACTCATAGAAACAATTTTATTTATCTTTTAAATATCCCCATCTAATTTTATGACAATATTTTATTGTATTCTTTATCTTATAACTCATCTTAAAATCTAGAGCAAATAACCAATGTTGAGTACTTAAATTTTCACTTCAAATGATCTTAAATTCTTTACATTCTCGACGATCTCTTTTCCTCATAAGAAAATAATCAATTTGTGTTTTATTAGATTTATTCTTATAAGAAATAATATATTCATCTCCTTTCTTAAATTAAATATTAGGAATAACAAATTTATATGTTAAAGCAAAATATAATATTGTTCTACCATCTTTTTTAATCACTCCAAAATCGTAGCGACCATTAATATTTTCAAAATTTTCTATCATTCTACCAACATGCCCACTTAAATCTTCTTCAATAAAAATTCTTTCTTCAAGAGGTATAATTTGCATTAATTCTTTCAAGTCATTCTATAATTTTTTTTTAACTAATATATAAACCTATTTGTGGAGCATAAGCACTTATAACATTAAAAATCTTAGAATTAATAGCAATCTTCAAAGCTATAATTTTTTCTCTAACTCTATTAACTTTTACAATCTTTCAAACTTTTATCTATAATTACACTTACACCATTTCAAATACGACTCCTACATGAATACTAAAATTTAAAACATAAGCAATCAATCTGTTTAGTCTTTTCTCCATCCTATATAGTTTGTTAAATACATAAGATATTTATCTTCCCATGAATCATAATATCAATTCTATTAATTTATCAGTGAGAGTGCCAAGTCTCTATCATAATATTGATTTCATGAATTAACTTTTGTCTGCATTAGTCAATAATGTGGAAACCTTGTTTATTTGACACTACAACCAGACGCCAGTATAGCGGCCTTTGTACACTTTTCATTATATTCAAGTCATACAATACGTCGTTTTCAGGGGACGCTCTATAATTTACACAATGATTTAAAGGATTTATATCATTATTTTGTTACAAAAAAATTATGTTGATTATCAACTATCTAACACCACCCTCCACTTTTCGCATCCGGGGCTTGAAATCCGACAATGACAAATAAAATCTACAAGAAACTGTGACAGCCAATTCACCAAAAAGAAAGAGTAAGTGTTTTCTTGTCATTAAAGAAAACTTTCTTTTAAAAAAAAATTTATCCTCTCACAGTAAATTGGTCAATCGAAAAAGACAAGAAAATTCCCCACCTTACTACCCTACAAACTAGCCTTAAACTAGAGCCTTAATGAAATCAATTAAAAGCGCTGATCATCGACACACAGATTTCCTGGCAGTCCATAATTGTGGAGCTCATTCTCACCCGTGTCTACGCTTGGTTGTGTTGCCGACTATGCAACATTCACCCTTGATCGCGGGGATCCCTCTCAATTCACGAGTCCATGCTCTAGTCTTGATCCTCCCCGTGCAGCTCACAACTCACCTGCACAACCATGATTGTGGGGCTCGTTGCACTAGCATTTGCGTTGGGTGGTGCTAGCTCTGCGCAGATCCCATCCGATCATGCATCCAAGCCAACACTCTACCACTTACTCATACCTTACCTTTGTTGTTGTTAAGCACTCTCGTTCATGAAAGCAACTCGTGGCACAATCTCTGGTGGCATTCCTACAGCCTTTCTCTCCCTCTTGGTCTCGGGACATTTAGGTTTTCTTCTTATTCCTTTTTCCCACTTTTGGTAAAATTTTATTCCACCTCTCATCTTCATCGCCATGCTCACTCTCTTCATCTTTAATTGATGATTTGCCTCCCGTTCCACTCTCTAACCTCTCCCTTTGTCTCTAGTTGATGCTTTGCCTACTGTTCCACTTTGCAAACTAGATCATTCTTCTTTGTTGAGAATTCTTCAACAAGCTCCTTCACTTCCCCCTTTTTTGCCCTACTAAGGATTGGGGTTGAAACCCTTATAAAGTCGTCTCCCCATGCCCTAATTGTACCTCATTCTACCCAACACTCACGCTCGCTTGTTGATGTTGTTGGTAGGCTAAATGATAGATCTCATTCAACCCCACCTAGCAATCATTTTCCCATTTTTTTTTCAATAAGATGCGATCTCACTATCTCATAAGTGACTTTACATATATCAAAATAAACCGACCCTTATCTTTTATGATGATAAGATCATTGAGCTTTCTAAGCCTATTTTACTTTTATATTATTGGCACATTCTCTTTATGTCATCCTAACATAAAAATAATCTGTAGTTTCTTATCATATTTAAACTTGGTTGACACCCATTTTGTTTGACTTGAGGATTTTGATCTTATATTATAGTTGAATTAAACCTCAAAAGCTCACTATATTAGACTTGTATAGACGGGTGTGGCTTGCCAAAATGGTCACCCCATTTTGCCACTTCAAACGAGCTATCAATCACTCCAGTAAGGATATCATTCATCCATCTTCGGCTATATTATTTCCATCAATCCTTACCATATTCATTAGAATTAATAATTAGCAAACCCTTACAAGTAGATGATGCTACTACTTGTTTCCCAAAACCTTCGGGGGTATTGTGTACAATTAAAGCTAGATGGTACTTCTCATTTGGAAAAAGAAATGTGGATTAGCTCCTCTACTTGTGGGAAAATAGAATTGGAAGGCAGTACTGCTCACCATATAAAATTTTTTGACATAATTTTTTTGAATACTTCAAGGCATATTCAAAATTAAAGAAACCATTTTTTCAAATACAAGAGGCACTACAATAGGACTAAAGTTAAACTACAGTCAACTTAGAAGCCTTTAGAGTCCAAGGTAGACCTCCATAATTCAAGTTTTTCCTGAGTTTTTTCTCTAGTTTTATCCACAAGAAGGATATCATCAGCAAAAAGCATACACCAAGGCACATCCTCCAGTAAGTGTCCAGTAAGATCATCCATAACTAAAGCAAAAAGATGTGGGCTTAAAGCCGATCCTTGATGTAAACCAACAAAAATCCAATATTTTATAAGAAGTCTCCAATATCTAGCAATAAAGAAGCCCAACATTTTCTCAATCCATTAGAATGCTAACTTCCATTGTTAATATAACTCGCTTAACACTCATCCAAATTTAAATTAACCAAAGTTATCTCACTTGATGTCTATATTAACGAAAAAACATAAGCTTGGAAAAAATTTACTAAATAAAATGGATTGCATCATTTACTAAAGCTTCACAATACTTATACAAACATCTAAAAAAAATTATACAGTTCGTAAGTTGTATAAACTTGAAATTTTGCAATTCAAACAAACAGGCTCATTTCGGCTGTTTCTTATTCCATTTCGGCTGTTTCTTATTCCAAAAGCTGCCTGTAACATTTCAGAATTGTAATTTTTTAATGGACACGAATTAATGTACTTCCAATTAATTCACCAAGCTTGTTTAATGCACGTTGTAGTCTTATGGATATGGTTGGATAATAATAAACATGGCTACTTCCAACCAGCACTACAAAAGTTCCATCCATTGAAGTCAGTTCATACACCAAGGCACAATGGTGGAGAGGCACTAGCTAGCGATCTCACATATCAAACCTATTTCATAATACATCCCTACACAATAAAGTTAACATAACTACCTGATTGTAAATTAAGCAATAAAGTTGGAGAGAGAATATTACTACCTGCCTAACAGATGCAGAAACTTTATTATGGCGGGTAGATGCTAGCACCGGTCTCATATCTTGAGGTAGTTGTGCCTATCAAAAGTAGTAAGAAAAAAATTGTGCATGTTACATCAGCACAAATGAAATAACAAAACATTTTTAACTAAGCCTAAATGATGGGAGAACATCAACATACTAAGAAAGGATATTTTCCCTTGAACAAATCACCATCTTCTTGTCCTTTATTAGCATTTGTTGTTGAAGTTTTTCTAGCAAGAACCTCAAGGGCCCATTTCCTTTTATCAGTTTTAGCATCAGATGGACTAAAATGCTCCTCCGAAGTTTCTTTACTTTCTTTGGAGCCGTTAGAGCCAGAAATTTGAATCGAGTCTGCTGCAGCTTTAAATGAACTTGATTTTGGTAGCAATGAATTTTTGGAAATTTGAATTGAATTTTTCTTTGAGTTTTTATCATCATTCAAAATTCCCTTAGCAACATTGCTGGAGCTTTTTTCCTTCTCAATAATATTCTCATCAATCTGATAACTTCCTGACAATTCTGACAGAGGCTTAATATCATCTTTTCTAGGGAAAACCGATGCATCAGCTATATATACCCTAGACAAGATAGAGTCTTTACTTTCCTCTTGAGAATCCCGTTCAATTGAGCTATTCCACTGAGGATTTGTAGCCTTTTTCAAGAGTTCAAGAACTGATTGCAATGTCTCAACCTTATCAGGTTGTGTTCTTCTACATCGATGCTTCCAGAACTCTATCTCCAAATCCCTCGCCCATGCATGTCTTCTCCTTCCACCAGCAGTTCCATAAATCTTTTTGGTAAGATTTTCACGTTTCTTTCCTTTCCCAAGAAGAGGCTTCTTTTCCCCTATATGGACAAGTTTAGATCCATTTGTCATATCGGTCTGTGGTCTCACTGTTGCAGCTCTGAATGCTGCCAGAAGCTTTTCATCAAAGTCACTCATTCCAGCGCCTTTCAAGGTTTTATATTGAACCACTTCCCTTATCTCTTTCCTCTTTCCCTAGTTCTTGTACTACGATGGATGATTCTCTTTTCTCTCCAACTCTTCTCATGATCTTTTTCACTCTCAATCCACAAGTGCTATCCTTTTTGCTCATGGATTTATTATTAGCCTTCATTTCTGTTGGCATATCATGGGAAGCGCAATCACTTGCTTGAACAATGCTCATGATATCTGAGGCCTCAGCTTCCTCTTGTTTAACAGATCTTAAGATAGAACCTCTATTTTTTATTGAGCACACTTGAGAAGACAAAAGAGATTGATTTCCTGTAGGTAGAGTTTTAGAACTTCTATCTAATTTTAATTTCTTCATAGGATATACAGCTCCTGGTTCCCTTTTCCTAATGCAATCATTGCTCTCATCCATGTGTCTGAAAAAAGAAAAAAAAAACTTGTATGAGAACAGCAAAGCATAATCCTTGACTATATTAAAAGTATACAACAAACCTAGGGCTGAAGGTAATTCAGAAAAATAATTGCACCCCTGAAGTTGCAAATTGAAAATTGTTAACATAGCAAAAAATAAAAAAGTTATCGAGGTCCGGACTGGTGAGCTGAAGCTAATTATGCTAATTTAATTGATTCTTCAGCATCACCAACCATTTTGACAGCAATAGGTGTGGGAAAAAAAATCTCTACTTCACAAGGCCATCTACATGCAGGAGGGAAATAGTGTCACTCAAATATTTGTTAAAACATATCTTTAGGAAGATCTTTTAGCAAAATTCTTTTGTTCACTTCCATACGAAGAGAGAATTGTACAGTGAACAGGTAACCTACATTGTACATGTCTCCATCTTGGGCTTTTCAGTCAAATTGCAACCTTCCCTGTTCGTTTGAAAAATATCAGCCACCATATTCTCGGTACAGCTTGTCACCATGTTGTCAGCTGAGAATCAACCAAAAAAAAACATTGGAAATAACATTATTGACGCAAAAAAGTAACATTATGAAAGTATAGCATACAAAGCAAGATACTGAGCCAAACTCAGGATCTTAGACACCAAGCTACAATTCAGCTATATATATATATATATATATGCATATATGTGGAAAGACCCAAACATGGCACCCTGCCCACACAAAAAATCACAAATGGTTCCAAAACTCGAAAAAAAAAACAGAAAAATACATTAGATAATAAAATAAAAAACCTAACGGTGCTGAAATACATAGTATCAGATAGCTCAAGAGTGACCTAATTTGGTCTTGCCTCTGCCTCTAGTTCTAGGGTAGGAGCAAACTAATAAGTTGGTAAGATGATTGTCATTGCCAGTAGTAACCAATGTATCATCCAATATGTTCCCGAGCTGAAGTTGGCCTCCATTCTTCTTCTTCCTCCTGGAATA